AATAAAAGTAATAGATTACTGAATAGAAATATGAACAATTTTTTGAAGAACTTATTTATGGCAAACAAACTTAAAGAGAAAATAAACAGGAAAAGATGCTAGCTCTAATTACCAATGGGGAGAAAGTAATTATATTCAAAGAATTATTTTTTACACATGAGATTGACTAACTTTTTGTAAATTTGATGAGTCTTCAAGTATTAGATAATTCGTGATTTCTTTTAAGTTTGGAAAGGGAAAGTATTGGGATTTTTAGGGAGTGTTCCCTTTGGGTCTACTCCAGAGAATATCCTATGATGTAGATAGATTCCAGGGGTGGGCAAACTTTTTGACTCAAGGGCCACAATGGGTTCTTAAACTGGACTGGAGGGCCGGAACAAAAGCATGGATGTGTGAACTAATATAAATTCAAAGTAAACATCATTACATAAAAGGGTACGGTCTTTTTTTTTAGTTTTATTCATTTCAAACGGGCCGAATCTGGCCCTCGGGCCATAGTTTGCCCACGGCTGGATTAGACTATAGGGGGGAGGGGGATCTTTTTTCTACCAAGGGCCATTTGCATATTAATACCATCATTTGAGGGCCATAAAAAATGAACTGAAATTATTAACAATTAGCCTGCTACATTTGGTCAAACATTTAAGTTATCCCTAAAGCCTTGGGAGGGCCAGACCAAATGATTTTGGGGGCCTTATATGGACCTCAGGCAGGACTTCCCCACCTCTGGATTACAGGATTGCTTTAAGAAAAGGCCTGCCACTCACAAAAAAACCTCAATACATATTATTAAATGAATCTTAGGTAATTGTTGAGCATCTGTCTACTATGATAGCATTTATGTTTTAGTTCAAAGAGGAAGGGAGAGGGAGAGAAAGATAGAAACATCAATGTTGAGAGAGAATCATTGATTGGCTGCCTCCTGGACGCCCCCCCACAGGGATCGAGCCTGCAACCCAGACATCAAATGGGTCTGTATTGCTCCAAAAACCTCTCACTGACAGTGACAACTGCTTTGTCTCATGACCATTGGGTCCCAGCCTGCTGGGGATTTCTCTTCCTGACTTACTCTACCACAGATCTCACACTTGCTTAACTAGCCCCTATGATCATGTAAGTCAGTTCTTGTAATAAATCTGTACATGGATCTCTTCATATGTGCATCTATATTACTGGTTCTGCCTCTGTGGTTGAGCCTTGACTGACAGCACTGATAGATCTTTCTTCATTGCTTGGCAGTCTTAACCATAAATCTTGTGGTCCATCCAAAAAGAATTCTTCTCTCAGAAAATGTTAGCATTAGGCCCTGCCCAGTGTGGTTCGGTTAGTTAGGCATCATTCCATGCACCAAAAGGTTGCTGGCTCCATTCACAGATGTGCCCGGGTTTCTGGCTCAATACCAGGTAGGGGGTATGCAGGAGCCAGCCAAGAGATGTTTCTTTCTCTACCTCTCTGCCTTCCTCTCTTTCTGAAAATCAATTAAAAAAACACACATATTTTTTAAAAAGAAAATATTAGATAGTCCCTCCCCAAATTTCCTTCCTTTGTTTCAGTTCCATATAAAAACACATAGATATAGCATACCAGGAAAAATAGAGTCAGGCCTTCCTCTTTATTTTCAGATTCTGTATATGCAAATTTGCATATTCACTAAATTTATTTGTAATTCTAAAAGTAATTTTCATGGTGTTTTCCTTGCTATTCATAGACTTGCACTGAGGAGGAGAAATTTGATTCCTGTCAGTTGAATGTTTCAAGCAGAGTTTGAATAAGGAGAAGCTCAAACAGTAAGTAAGTGTCTTTACCATGGTATAATATACCTGTTTTTTGGTATTTTGGTGCAACTTGTTGGTGACTTTGCTGTTTAAAACTGCCCTCATCTGCTGGAAGCCGGTCCATCCTTGCTGCTTGACACAGTTGCTGCAGGGAAAGAAACATCTGCACAGCATATGTTTCAAGGGACCTGGAGTACATGGCATACTGTTCTTAATATGTTTGCTTCCCTTCTTGGCACTATGTGTTTTAACCAAGGTCACCTCTCTGAGAAAGGTTGTTTCCCCAGGTAGGGATTTTTCCCTGAAGTTAGGGAGGGAATAAAATCCCTTAACTAAGTGCCAGGCGGGTAGTTAATCACTTTAACTACGAACAATCACGCTTAAGCTACATAATCTTTACTCCCTCTAATGGAGATAAGAAACGCCCTAACCTTTAGAATAGAAATTGACAGGATTAAAATCAACTGGTATAAATTCAGATGTAACAAGACAATAGAAGACAAAACCTGGCAACAGAACCTGGCTGGAGATCCTGGACAGAACCTGGAGACAGAACTTGGCTGCAGAACCTAGACAGAACTTGTGCTGGAGATCCTGGCTAGAGACCCTGGCTAGGCTGCTGATCAACTGAATGCTGTCTCCGTGTCATTCCTTCTTCGCTGACTCCGTCCACACCTTTGGGAACCCCTGGACCTGCTGGGGTTGGACCCCAACAGGTAAGAGTTCTTTCTATTGTACAGCAGCATAGTATTCCATCATGTAGATGTACCAGAGTTTTCTAATCCACTCATCTCCTGATGGCCACTTACGCTGTTTCCCAATCTTAGCTATTGTAAATTGTGTTGCTATGAACATAGGAGGGCATATGTCCTTTCTGATTGGTGTTTCTGATTTCTTGAGATATATTCCTAGCAGTGGGATTACTGAGTCACATGGGAGTGCCATTTTTAATTTTTTGAGAAAACTATAAAAATTTTCCACAGTGGCTGCACCAGTCTGCATTTCCACAGCAGTGCACCAGGGTTCCTTTTTCTCTACTTGTTATTTGTTGAATTGTTGATGATAGTGATTCTGACATGTGTGAGATGGTACCTCATTGTCATTTTGATTTGCATCTCTCATATGATTAGTGACTTTGAGCATCCTATCTTATAAAAGAGAAACATGGTAATTAGCGTACGACCACTACCCTTTGCATTGGCTAATCAGGGCGATATGCAAATTAACTGCCAGTCAAGATGGCGGCTGGCAGCCAGGCAGCTGGAAGCGAACATGAGGCTTGCTTGCTTCAGTGAAGGAGGACTCCAACGTTCCCCGCCTGCCTTGCCGGCCTCTCAGCTGGCAGTTTGAAACATTGTAACAAATATAGAAGCTAAACAAAACCCCAGAAACCAGCTTTCAGCCGGCCGGGATCTCAGAGCTGGAGATGATACAGTGTTTCGATTATAGAACCCAAACAAACCAGATACCTGCTTTCAGCAGCAGAGGCCTTGGCCCAGAATAAAAAAAAAAAAAAAAAAAAGGAGCGGTTGGGAGCTTCAGTCACCCACCAGCCTGAAAACAGCCTCAGCCCCTCACCCAGACTGGCCAGGCACCCCAGTGGGGACCCCCACCTGAAGGGTGTGTGACCAGCTGCAAACAGCCATCATCCCCTCATCCAGGCTGGCCAGGCACCCCAGTGGGGACCCCCACCCTGATCCAGGACACCATTCAGGGCAAACCAGCCAGCCCCTACCCATGCACCAGGCCTCTATCCTATATAGTAAAAGGGTAATATGCCTCCCAGCACTGGGATCAGTGGAGCCGTGAGGCCTCCCGGCACCGGGATCAGCGTGACAGGGGGCAGTGCCCAAACCCCCTGATTGCCCTGCGGCTCTGTGTGTGACAGGGTGCGCGCCCCAACCCCCCCCCCCCC